AGGGAGGCCTGGCTGCTGGACATCTGAGGCCTGCCAGGTAACTGGCCAGGTGAAGTGGGGCGGCCGATAACCTTAGGAAATCCGGTTCTCTCAGCCCTCCGATGGGGCAGTCACGTCTCTGGAAGCTGTGGAGAGGCTTTGTGAGTAGGGGGTCACTCTTACAACACAGGGCGCTGTTCCGTGTGGAGCCCGGGCCGCTTCTTCATCTGCGTCCTGTGCGTGAGGACAGTGGGGTGCGGGTTGGAGCTGTGTGCACTGTTACCCGTGAGTCCTCAGCCCCGGTGCGACCTTGAGATCTCAGAGACGGCAGCTGTGTGGTCGGAGCAGAGGGTCCTTCTCACAGTCAGGCAGACACCTGGCAGGAAGGGAGCTCCAACAGGTGGACCCAGGCGGGGGGTGACCAGACGCTGCTTCCCTGTCACTTCCTTTGTTAACCTCGGGTACCAGGTTAAAGTCCCCATTCTCCTCAGTTCATGGCACCTTATCATCATCACCCCTCTAAGCCCCCCTCTTCCTTAGCCCCCCTGTGACCCTTGGTCCCACTCACCATTCAGTTCACATGTTTAAAAGTGTATTTTAAATGTAACTGGTGTGGTGTTGCCATCATTCATTTTGTCAGCAAAAATGTATTAAGTGCCTCTTTTGCGGTAGGCTTTGTGCTAGGTGCTAAGGTGACAGGAGTAAGCAAAACAGGCAAAAACTCTTGCCCTCTGAGAGCTTAATTCCAGAGGACAAGGTGGGGGTGGGGAGAGCACTTCTTACCTTTCAGACTACTGTTCAATTTCCTTACTTATTACATTTGATTCTCGTCTAAGGTAAAAATAGAGCAGGGTAAGGGGGAGTGAGTGAGCGAGCGAGTGTGTGTGTGTGTAAGGGGGAGCGAGTGTGTGCACACGTGTCATGTGCTGAGGGGATTTTGAGGGCCGGTAGTTCCAGGCAGAGGGAACAGCCTGTGCGAAGGCTCTGCTGTAGCATTGGTGTCCCACGTGCATTAATGACAGCGGGGTGGCCAGTGAGGTCGGGGCGCAGTAAGGGGAGGGGACCCTGGTGGAAGATGATATCAATGGGGTAGAGGGAGTGGAAGGGGGCGGGGAGGCACATTGTGGAGGGCCTTGTGGGATGGGGTAAGGACTTTGGCTTTTACTGTATTTCCAGGGTTTCCAGGGTCCTAGCTGGTTCTCGGCAGTGTGGTTTTCAGATCCAGCCGTATTGCTACACGCACATGTAGTTAGTTGCTTGTAACCGTTCCGTAACACTCTATAAATTTCACCCAGTCACTCTTCCAGCTCCTGCTACTGCTCGTAATACTGCCGGGGGTGTTGTCATGTGTGTTCCATTATGGACGCCTGTGATCCCTTCTGTGGGAGATGCACCCCACGTGCGTGGACGAGCTGGGTGGTAGGGCAGGCGCTCAACTTCACTTCAGTCATGCCAGGTTGCTCCTGGGCTGGCTGGACACATCCCTTCCGCAGTGCACCAAGGTCCCCTAGCTCCACGTCCCAGCCAACTTGTGACATTGTCCACTTTCAATTTTTTGCCAATCTAACAAATATACAGTGACATGTATTGTTTTAATTTGCATTTCTCTGATTACTAATGAGTGTTAAGCACCTCTTTATATGTTTGTTAGTGTTTTAAGATTTCTTGTTTTATAAAGTGCCCGTTTATGTTCTTGGCCATTTTTTTTTTGTCCTGTTGGGATTCTTGTATTTTTCTTTTTGATTTGTGGGAGTTCCTTGTATATTCTGGATATTAGCCATAGTTGTTTTCAGGCTAGACTTAAGGTGGCCTTGGAGGTAATTGCATCTAATCACCACGTTTGACTGTTGAGGAAACTGAGACCCAAGCAATTAAGTGACTTTTTCAGGTCACACACATGATGGAAAAGATGGGACCAGAAGTGAGGACTTTCCCCACCATATCCTGCGAGGTGGGAGGTCCTTTCAGAGAGGGAGGACCTGCAGGAGCTGGGGCAGGAGCTGCTGTACATTGCTTTGTGGGCAGTGGGACCCCTTACCCTGACCTCTTGAGCTGAGACCAGCTCTGGACCCAAGAGACCCGGGTCTGGGGACCACGTCCTCCTCCTGGTTCCCACTGTCTCGACTTTATGTCAGGACTTTATCTCCTCAGCCTTGACCAGTGTTTCTGAAATTTCATTGTGCCTGGGCTTCCCCCAGAGAACATTAAAGTGCATATTCCGGCTCCACCCCCTCCTGGGGGTCTTGCAGCAACGAGAGGCCCTCAGCACCCTGGTGCAGGTGGCCCATGGCCCTACCTGTGACACTGCGCCAGAGCTGCGTGAGCGACCTGATTGACCCTCAGTCGCCGTGCAGGGGTCCCTGCAGCCCGCCTGCCAGATGTGCTGTGTGCTTCGAGCATCCCCGGAACACACCTCTCTGCCCTACCAACTGCTTCTGCTCACTGTCCACCGGAAGTGCTCCCCTGGAAGTGCTTCTTGCTCTGTGAACTCCTGTGACTTTTCAAGATGGAGGCCAAACACGGCCTGTCCGAGGAAGGCCCCCCGCTCTCCCTGGGGCTCAGGCTCAGGGCCACAGCGCGGATGAAGAAGTGCGGCTGCGCGTAGGAACCCCCCCCCCACCCTGTGACATCACGGTGGACACCCTGCTGTGGGAGGGGGTTACAGGCCCCTCTGGAAGGGAGCGGCACCCAGACCACCCAATCTGTTCTTTTTTTAAAAAAACACTCATTTTTATCAAACACACACACACATAATTTAATGAGCTGTAGTCCTACAAAGTTTATTATGAAAACCGCAGTCTTCCATCCTTTCCCCCCATGCATTTCCCTCTGCCAGAGGCGGATACTCGAAACTCTCTGCCTGATTTTTTTAAAATTTTTTAAATTTTTTTATATCTCTAAAGAGCACGCTTGTCTCGCTCCTGATTTTTCAGTTTAGGGCACTATGTCCACTTTCCACTGCACAGAGTAAGGGGTGACCCCTCCAGCGTCACCCCCTACCTTCCACACGGGCCCCATGTTTTGCCCCGTGGCCAGTTCTGACATCCAGCCCCGCAGGGGGCTCTCCCGGCCTCAGTGACTGTGCTTCTGCCCACCCGCTGCCCACGTCAGAACCGTGGGCCTCTCCTGAATCGCTCCCTCCTCCTCCCAATCCTGCGTCACCGCTCTCCCCGCACCGCCCATATCTAGCCACTCATGAAATTCCATCCACTCTACCTCCCACGGGACTCGAAATTCATCCGTATCTCTCTGTTCCCACTGTTTCTGCTCTGTCACCCTCATGTCCTCCCCACACACTGCAATAACGCTGTTTCCTGGCTAACCTCCACCAGTCTCTCCTTTACCTTACAACGAGAGGGACCTTTCTTTTTTTTTCTTTCTTTTTTTTATTTATTTTTTTATTGTTAGTTTCAGGTGGACAATACAATGCAATAGTTATCCTTTTCACCTAGAGGGACCTTTCTAAAGCACAGATTAAACTGTGCGATTCCCAGGCTTAAAACTCTCACGTGTGCCTTGGGGTCCACGGGGGAAAGCTCAGATTCTGTACCATGGTGGGCTAGACGCACACTTTGTCTTCCTGGCACACAGACTGCATTTACTTGCCATAAGGTTGGGGCCATGTGAAATGTGCGTGGAAGTGACGTGTCATTTCCAGGCCCAGGCAGTGAAGAGCTCTGTGCCCATTACATCTATTTTTCCTTCTGCAGGGACCTCTGAGGCCCGTGTTCCACATGCTGGAGCTGTGGGGGGAGGAGGGCTGCCCTCCCCACATCGCCCTTCACACCAGTGAGAAGTAAGTCTTGGTTGGCTCAGCCAACAAAACTTTGGGGTTCGTCTGTCACCTGCAGCACAGCCCCTCCGAATCCTGAGTAACACAGGTGTATCTGAGGCCCTGCAGGGTCTGGCCTTGCTTCTCTCTCTGACATGATTTCTCTTCTCTTCCTTCCGTTTAACTCTGTATTCCAGCTGTAATGCCAGGCGAGGGTCTGTCTACCGAGCAGCCCTGAGAGCTGGACCACATTGTGTAGACTTGGCTGTTCCACTTAGCTCCTCAAGAAAGACCGCGACTCTTAACTTACAGAGCCTGGGCTTGGGGGGCGGGCAGCCCGGGGCTCAGCAGTTGTTCTGCTTCCTGTCAACTGTGTGGTCTTGAACTGGTTGCTTGGCCTCTCTGAGATTTAGGAAAACAGGGTACTGACCACCCTGACCTGATTGTTAGGGTTAACCCGGTGAGAACACAAGTGTAAGGCTGGGCCTGATGCTGGGTACTTGGTAAGGACCCAGTAAGTGGGGGCTGCCTCCGTGGGCCTCCCTCCTTTGTTCTGTCCAGGGCTTACCGCCGAGCTATTGGAGAGGTTGCCAAACATCTCCTGGGGGGGCAGCTTCATGTGACTGGGAGGACATGGACTTTGGGAGGCTGTGCCCATGACCATTGGGGTGACCTTGGTCAGTTGTTTGACCTGCCCAGACCTCAGTCTGTCACTGTGCATGCATATTGCTATCATAGGACCGCTGTGATCAGTGTGACCTGGAGTGTGATGAAGGCCCTTGGGGACATTCTGTTCGGGTCAGCTCTTGTCATTGTGTCTGGTGCTTTTCTCCACTTGGTTCATTTCACTCTCATTTCTCCCCAAGTTGTTCCTCTTGGAGGGTAGATGTTGCATTGTGCATTTCTGGGTGCCCCCAGCAGCACTTAGCGGAGGGCAGAGCAGGGCCTCCTCAAACTTGAGTGGGCCCACTGGGGGGTGGGCTCCCTCCACACTTCGATGCCACAGACTTTCTGGACTGGGTTCTGTGCCGTCCCCCACAGTCCATGGAAGTGCCCTGGGGCTGGTCAAGTGGGAAAGGAGCAGCCTGTGAAACTGGCCAGCAAGCCTTTTATTTATTTTACTAACAGGCATCAATTTCTAGGACAGCTCTGGGGTGGGATGGGGTGGGGGTGGGGGTGGGGTGTGGCGTGGGCCAGAGAGAGAGGTGGGGAGACCGGGAAGGGCGGCCACGACCCTGGCCTCTGGCCGCTAAATGAGCTGTGGGAAGCCGTCCTGGCCGGAGTCGGCCTTGCTCTGGAAGATGCGCCTGCTGACCACCCGCTGCCCCTGCTCGTCCTCGTCCTCGGCCTCGTTGGACTTGCGGTGGGCGTTCTGGTAGACCACGGCGCACACGCCGGTGAGCCAGGCGGCCACGGTGCCCGCCGCGAAGATGCAGAAGCCGACGAGCAGCAGGAAGATGTAGTCGCGGCTGTCCAGGTGCGTGATGCACATGTACCGCAGCGGGTTCCCCGCCTGCGAGATGGGCCACCCCGCCAGCTCCGGGGGCTCCACGCACGTGGCATTGAGGTCATCTAGAGGAGAAACACAGCAGGTAGAGTGCTGAAACGGCGGAAGTCCAGGGGTCCAACGGACCGCAGGGGACCCGGAGAGGCGGTCTGGACCCTCGCTACTGCAGGTTTGCATCACCTGGGCCTCGTCAGAAATGCAGCCTCTCAGGCCCTGCCCTAGACCTCCTGAGTCAGAATCCACGTCCTCACAAGACCCCCAGGTGACCTGTGGGTACATTGTTTGGGAAGTATTGCACCCCAGCCTTAGCTGCATCCAGATCACCTCCTGAAAAGGGGCTTTGCTTCTTAAGGGTCCTGAAGGAACCGGAGGGAAACTCCGCAAGCTGGCAGTTGGGAGCGGGAGTCAGGAAGCCCAAGCAGGACCTCCGTGGAGTGTGACACTCCACAGCCTCCACTGCTGTTCGTCAGCCCCCCTCCCCCTGCTGACCCCACCTTCCCCTTCACCTGTCCCTTTCTCTTCACCGTGCCTGAGCCCAGCCAGGGACCAACCTCTAAGGCCACCCACCCAAGGGCATCACACACCACTTGCCTTAACTCTCGGGAGGAAGGCGATTTCCCGGAAGTGCCTACAGTGTGTTCTCTGCGCGCCCTGCACCCCAGCACCCCACAACCAGGAGAAATTGGGAGGGGGGAGGGGTACCAGCGTAGAGCCAGCCATTTGGGGAACCAGTTCCTGGTCTCATGTGGCCTTGCTGGCTTAGTCACGTGCTCTCATGAGCCTTCAGTCCTTCTGAGCAGATGACTCGGCCGCCTGCTGCTTTGCTGAGCACCTCCTCATATCGAACCCCATAGACTTCAGAATATAACCGGAGAAAGTGGGCCCTGGAGCCACACAGCCCTCGGTTCAAATCCAATGGTCACATACCAAATTTGTAAGCGCTGGCAGGATACCTGGCACTCTCTCTGAGCCCCATTTCCTCATCTCCCAAGTGCAGACAATGACACCGCTTGTCAGGGTCATCCCGAGGATGAGCCGCCAGGGCGGAAAGGCAAGACGTGCGCCTGGTACCCAGGCGGGGGCATCCAGCAGGCACTAGGTAAAGGCGCTTACCCTCAGGGTCAGACCAGGGCTTGTCGCAAACATGGTCAAGATCATAATAGCAGCCAGTATTTACCGGGCTCTGACGACATGCTGCATGATATACAAATGCTATCTCATTTAATTATTGAAACAACCTCGACACACATAGGGAAACAGACTCAGAGAGGTTTTGTAACTTGCAGGTTCTAGATAACCTGCAGGACCAAGGCAGGCGAGGAAAGATGTTGAAAACCCAGCTGAGCTACCTGAACGGGAGCCACACATGGAAGCCAGTGTGGAGAGGAGCTTCCCGTGACTTTTAGGGTAGAAACTGTGGACTATGCAAGGCGTGGATCTCCTTGGTGACCAAGGACAGTGGAAAGTCAGGTTTGGCTTGGAGCTCGAAGCAGGAGAACGAGAAGAAGGAATACGATGTGAGCTGATGGGAGAAGAGGCCGGGGCTTGGGTGGCCGGAAAGAGCGGACCAGGCTGAGAGAGAGGTCCTGTCCAAGCTGCACACTGTCCCCTGCCCCTGGCTTCTGGGTCAGAGGGCCTGCAGTGCTGTCGTTTGTTACTTCTAGGAAGACAGCCCCCAGTGTGTAAGGCTGGCGGGGACTCATCTTGGAGGAGGGGTGGGGGGCTGTAGACAAAAGGGGAAGCCAGCCCAGGGCTGTCACTTCTGCTGTTTGCAGTGATTATGGAGGATGAGAGAGGAAGACACCCCTCTGTAGACTGAGTGTGGACAGCTGCCCTCGGGGCGACCCTGCCCCACAGAGAGCTCTCGGGAAGTGGAAGTGTTGGGGCGGGGACTTCCATTTCAGGCTGCCCTCAAGGGGCAAGAGACAGTGCCGCCTCTAGACCTCTTAGTCAGCGGGGCTCAGGACCTCGGGGACTTCAGGCAGGAGGCCTGAGAGAAGGGCAGGTGAGGCGCAGGGGGGCGCCCTGGCAACTGCTCAGGAACTCTGGCTGGAGAGGGCCTGGGTCACCTGCCTGAATGCCAGAGACATGACGTGGGTTATACAGAGAGATGTGCCCGAGAAAGGAAAACGTGGGATTCTGAGGGTCTTGGTATGTCTGGGGGGCTTATCTCATTCTATTTTTAAAAAGATTTGGCTTTCAAATCGGGGCTCGGGCAGCAGACATGAGACTAAACATTAAACACACGGTTCCCCATTTTGGAGTATTACCTTGAAAGGAGCAATTAGGCAGTGATTTTAATGCATTGTTAGGCTGCTCTGAAGCGAGGGGTGTGGGTGGCTTGTGGCGGGGAGGGCTGGGCTTTTCTGCACTGCGTCTCTCCTCATTTCCTATACCGCCAAGATGCCAGCTCCCCTCCCAGAGGTCTCCCTGTGGCCACTTTTCCTAGTTCCCCAGCTCTGGACACACACTCCTGCTGGACTCCCCTTCTACAAGCATGGCTCTTCCCCCCACTCTGGCTCACAGCCCCCCTTCAGCTCCCCTGGGTCTCAGAATCCCCTCCAGACCCCCTGGCCTGGCCTCCAGAGCCCTCAGCACCTGCCTCCCAACCTCGCTTCTCGGCACTCCCAGCCCCTGTCAATCAAACAATCCATTGCCCCTTGATTACACCGCGCCCTCGTCTGCAGCTAGCTTTGTCACACTGCTCTTTCTCCATCAAGTGCTGCTTCCCCCCATTTTTGCGTGATCAGTTCCTTTCTGTCCTTCAAGGTCAAGTGTAAATGCATCTACCCCCAGGAGCCCCTCCTCCACCAGCTCATCCCCGTAGCTCAGAGGACACGTGACTGTTCCCACCCCTGCACTCACCCATAGCCTTTCCTCGTATATTGTTAGGCACCTCTCACATTCTGCCTTGCTTGATGGTTATTTACCAGAAAAGGGGTGCATCTTTTCTCCCCACCGAGACAGAATTTGAGTGCTTGAAAGTGTAATCCATGTCTGATCAGTGTCATTCTTGCTAATAAGAGCTATGATTCATTGAGAGAATTACTTAATTTTTACATATTCGGGGATTTTCAAGTAATATTTCCATTATTGAATTCCAGTTTAATTCTACTGCGGCCAGAAACATGCTCTCTGATTTCAGTCCTTTGAAATGTATTGAGAATTTGCTCTTGGCTGAGCATAAAGTCAGTTAATCTGGCATGTGAAAAACACATGCTTTGCCTCTGTTAAGTACGTTGTTCCAGGGATGTCAGTTAGGTTGTGGTTTTAGAGTGATCTTGTATATTTTATGGACTTTTTAATATTTTTTGACTTTTTATTGACTTTTTCAAAGCTAGTGTCTCTTAGTTGCCGTTTATTAGTCTATTAGTTATTGGGGGAGATATGTTAGTCACCAGGTAAGATTCTGCATGATGTCTGCTCCTCTCTATCGTTCTGTCAAGTTTTGCTTTCCATATTTTGAATCAAAGTTATTAGATGCATAGGAAGTTATAACTGTTGCCTTTTCCTGGGAGATTTGCCCTTTTCTCCTCATCTCAAGTAATGCTTCTTGAAGCCTTAAAGTCTGCTTTGTTTGATGACAGTAGTAGGGCTATATCGAATTTCTTGAGGTTAATATTTGCATTGTGTACCTTCTTCCATCCTTTTACTTTTAATCTTTCTATGATCCTGCGTTTAAGGTATATTCTTGTAAGCAGCATGTGGCAGGGTTTTGTTTTCCATTCAGTGTAGCAAACCTTGTATTCTGATCAGTCCATTAACGTTTTATGTTAGACTGATACATTTAGATTAGCTCTTTGCTTCCTGTTCGTCCCACTTACGCCCCCTTCACTCTGCGCTGTTGCCTTCTATTTTATTATTTTGTTTCCTTGAGCTTGTTAATTATCCATCCTTTTCCACATCTGGTGTGGTGACGTTAGAGACTATAGACCACCTACTGACCCTGGAGGGCCTGAGATGTGCAGGTGCCACAGAAGGTGCTTCACAAAATTAGCCTCTACTCTTGACCGCCCCGCTGGGTCGTTTTAAGTGTTCCCATGCTGCACAATGAGTAAAATGTGTGTAAATTCTCCCCTCTCTGGCTTGCTTGATCTCCTTGCCTCTGATGAAGGGCTAACAGGTACTGTTGGGTGTGCTGTGCACTGCAAAACTCCAGGGGCATCATTCACATTCCAGACAGGTGACTTGGCCCCATGTAATCCGTCACGCAGCCCCACTGCACGGGCCTAGGGCATTTGCCCCAGTTAAAGCTCGCAGGTACAATTACAAATGTCATTAATGTTTAAATTCTTCCTGCAAATAGTTCCTAAGGAAACATAAACTGCCCCCTTGTTTATTTCCACACGTAGCACATTGCTCACAGGTGGAAAACCCAGCAGCCTGAATCAGGTGCGTGGAGGGGCAAGAGTTTCTGAGCCCAGAGCCACACCCGTTAGTGTGGGAGCCCTGCAAGCCTGTCAGAAAACCAGCTTCAAAACAGTGGTTTTAAGGGGTACTGCCCCTTTCCCGGGTCTGTCCAAGGGACCAGCATTCTGGGGGCTTCAGGGATCGCCTCCCAGAGGAGCAGGCTGCTCCGAGCCCCCGCACCAGCGTGCTTGCTCAGGGACCATCCGGGTCACCTGGCGGTGTGGAGAGAGAGGCTGGAATGTGAAGACTTCCCTCTCTTTTCACTGCGACCAAACCCGGGTTTCTACCCGCATGTGCACTTCGTCGTGAAAGTTCCACCTCGAACCCAGAGAAAGGCCTGACCCTCTCGTGTCTCCTCACTGGGCCCCAGCGTGCCCAGGCGTCATGAGAGGACGGAACTGGGTCTTCCTTCTTACTGGTTTTCTCCAGCTAAGTTAGTATTTGCGTTGTCTGTCTCTGCACACTCGATTGTGAACTCCTTGGAGATGGGGGTTGCCGTCGTGTTGTGTGCCTGGCACCTAGACTCGTGCTTCACATGTACTAGAGCTGCACGTGTGTTTGCTGAATGAATTAAATGTTATTTGTTATGAATGCCACTGACACAATGCTGAGCTGGAGGAAAGGGAACCTGGGGAGATGGAGGGCCGCAGGCACC